AATCAAAAAGAAAATCAAAAACAAAAAAAAACAAACATAAAATCATAAACGGAAATAAAAACGAAATCAAAACAATGATTAAAAATAAACATAATAAAAATAAATAACATAAAAATTAAAAACAAAAAAAAATCAAAAATAAAACAAATCAAAAATAAATATAAAAACCACAAATAAATGGCAAAAAATACATAAACTTAACAAAACAATAATAACAAAAAAATAAAAAACATAAACGAAAAGAAATACAAAGTCGGAAAAAATTAAGAAAGGCAAGACAAAAATCCAAAAATATTTAAAAAACCAAATCAAAAACAAAACAAAAATTAAAAATATATGAAAGAGAAAAATAGATAAAAAACAAGAAAATTTTAAAAATGTTAATAAAAAACTAAACAAAAAAATATATACATATGGAAAAAATAAAATATGCTAATCAAAAACTAAACAAAAAATATATACATATGGAAAAAATAAAATAAGAAAAACTTAATCAAAAGTAAAAAAAAGTCAAAGACAATAAAAACCAATGAAATAGAAAAAACTAAACAATCATAATAAAAACAAAATAGAATGAAACAAAATCATAACAAAAACACATAAAAACAAAACAAAAATTAAAAAAAAGATAAAAACAGAATAAATAAATCATTAAAAAAAGAAAAACTCAATAATAAACAAAAGCAAATAAAATAAAAAATAATACAATACAAAAAAAAAGAAAAACATAAAAAAATAGAATAAAAAAAAAGGGAATAATAAAATCAAAAACATAAAAATTTAAAAAATAATATCAAAAAAACATATAAATATAATATAGGAAAACCAAAAAAAAATAATGAAAGAACAAAAATAAAAGCAAAACAAACACACAAAATAAATCAAAAATAAAAACAAAAAAAAATAAAAATTAATATAAAAAATAAATAAAAACAAGAAAAAAAATTAAAAATTAATCAAAAGTTAGAAACAAATCAAAAGTACGAAACAAAATTATAAAAAGAAAAAAAATAAAACCATGATATCATTAAATACAAAAATAGAGAAAAAACATAACAGAAGAAATAAGCACATAAAAAATCAAAAATTATAACAAATCAAAAATAAAAAACACACAAAATTGTTCAAAAATAAAACAATAACTAAACAAAACAACAATATAATAAAAAACATAATCAAAAACAAAACAAAAAAATAAATACATATAAAAATAAGAAAAAAATAATCAAAAACACAAAAAATAATAAAAAACTTAGAAACAAAACAAAAAATAATATAAAATGAAAAACAAATAAAATAAAATCAAAAAGAAAAGAAAATCAAAAGTAAATGATAAAAATAAAATAAAAATGAAAAAAAGACAAAAAATAAAATAAAAAGAAAACAAAATAAAAAGCAAAAATAAAAAAAATAAAATAGGAAATCAAAAACAAAATTAAAAATAAAAACAATACTAAAGTGAAAGAAAAGTAAACGAGAATAAATAGTGAATAGAATAGAGAAAAGAAAAGAAAAGAGAAAAGTAAATAGGAAACTAAAAAGAATAGAACAGAATAGAAAATATGATTTTAAAATATCTAAATTAAAACCCCACCCCTACCCCCTATTCTAAGCCAAAACAATATAAATATAATCTCACCAAGATCCCACCCCACCCCAACCCCATTCCCCTAATAAAACCCAAAACCTTATATTATAAAACATTATTACTAACACATTAACACCCAACCTCTCCCAAATCCCAACCCTACCGTCTACCTACAAAAATGAGCCTAAAGCTCCCCTAGCAACCCTAATATATATTATAAAAATAGAAATATACCTTAAAACTCGTCTCAATCCTGGGTATTAGGACAACAGCAACATATTGGCGCAAAGAATCTTTTGATTCTTTTCCAGATACGCGACTGTCTTGTGGAAGGAAGAGTGGTAGGATATGAGGAACACGCTATTTCCTCTTGGTTGGAAGTGGACGAATCCTCTTGATATTGATCGACTGTCTTATCCTTTTCTTCCATAAAATCGGATCTTGGTATGTTGGGATTGCTGGATATCCTATTAAAATAGAAGCTCTCAGCAACCTTGGGAGATTCAATTTTGCAGATTTCTGAATCTGACTTGCATTTTAAAATATTGGATGAAGATTTGTTATTATCAAAAAATCGCACTCGGTTGTTGAGTGCAAATTTTATTCTTATTATTATCACATGTGTCTTTATTTTCTATTGAATCGCTACTATAAGAACCGTTATCATTACTATAGTCCGTATCATCATTCCTATCACGGTTTCTGAGTATAGATTTTGTAGGGAAGTATTGCTTGAATTTCAAAGTTGATGCATATTCTAACATAATTCAAAAATTTAAAATAATGATTTTGTAAATACGATAATAATAATATCAACAATCAAAAAAGAATTAGAAAATTTCAATCAAATTAAACATGATGATTAAAAACGAATATTTTTAAATTTTAGAACATTCAATTTTTTATCTTGAAAAATGAATATATATATAACTATGAATAAAAATTATAACATTGATCTTGTATTATTACGGAATCAATTTATATTACTTTTTTACAAAATGTTTTATTTGTGGCCGAATATAAAATATATTTTTATATATAAATTTCGCGTCAAGATTGAAAAGTTATAAGTTTACTTAACAAAAAGATCATATAGTTTTATAATTTATATATTCCATAACAATATTAGTGTGAACTTCTTAAGGCGAGTGAATTTTCTACACGTATTAATCCCTATATTACAAGCTAATTTCCCCCATTATCGACTAATAGAGAGACTATATCAATTCTCAGGGCAGGACCTTCCCAGCTTGTTATTATGGTGGAGAATAGGGACACCAGCTTATTGGAAGCTGGTGGGGAGTGAGACTAAATATAACCTTTGCACACGGTATGGTACTGAACGAAGAGACGCTTGTTTTAAGAAAAATTGATGTCAAATATATGAAAATTTTATATTCACATAATTGCGAAAAATTTGTAAACATATTTTTTTGATAATCAAAACAGATTTCAAAGGCTTATAATCTTATTTTTTTGTTTAACATTTATATAAATAACAATGATTTATTATTATTATTATATTATTCCAATTAATATAGTGTAAGTTATATCTTTCTTATATATTTCTAAGTCAAGGGTATAACTACGGAAAAGCTATATTGTATTGTTAGGTTGAACCCTCCCCATTATCCATATATAGTGTAATTTATACCTTTTAAACGTATAAAAACTATTATGGATAACTATTATTAGAACCTTTATAGTGTAAATTATACCTTTCTTAAGTCAAAAGTATAATAGGATAAAATAATTTAAACTATTTTTGAAATTTCTGAAAGGAGTTTCATTATAACTAAAAAGATGAAATGAATCATGGAAAAAAATCGTCGCCATAGGTTTTTGAGGGAATCTTGTATCCAGTGAAAATCCTGTCATGTAGACTTTGGATTCAAACTCTCATCCTCAGATTAATAATAAAATACATTCATTACAAAGATAAATATAATTGGCTTGGAATTAAGAAATAGATTTCGTTATAAATCTAATTTTTTCTAACAAAATCATATAACATATTACATATTACATTATTTATTCAACATTATAATATATATAATCTATATTATATTCCCAACCAGTTGATTGTTTTGGACATGATAATCTTCATTGTCGATTCTCTAAAGGTAGACATTCTCGACACAGTGCAGTTAACGGCACCATTCTCCGTGCTCTACGCTCAGCTCAAATACCCGCAACCCTTGAACCCTGTGGCCTCTCAACCGAGATAATATACTGCCAGGGCTGACCTTATTACCTTGGAATAATGGAACTTCATTAGCAAGGGATCTGCACCGACCGATTTTCTCCCTCATTATAACAACTCATTGGTACGAGCTGAAAACTCTAAAATTAATAAATACGCTTCCCTAACCCAATTGCAACTTCATACCAATCGTATCCGCCACAACCGGCTTTTTTGGCAATCATGCCCTAACCATCTTCAAATCCCTTGGTAAAAAAAATCGCGCCATCACTGATAACCCATAGGAAGGCTTCTATCTCAAACAGCGCATATCTATTGATATATGCAGATCTAACTGCATTGTTATCCACGGCTCCCTTTCTTGACCTCCTCCCACCCAACATACAATTTATTATTTTTTTTATTCTATCGTTTTTTATATAGATTTTAATTTACAAATAGTTACAATGATATTTTTAATATATATTTTTAAATTACGTATATATGTTTTACTTTTAACGTTCAATATATTATTTTAAAATTGTGATATAGTTTTATATAAATCTATGATGAAAATTTGAATAAAATATATTCCAAATAAATTCTAGAGATTTAGCAAATCTATGCGCAAAATTTATACGATTATATATTCTCAACATGCGCTCAGGATTATGCTTATATAAAGACGATTAGTGTTGCTAATGTATAATAGTACCTCCACGAACCTTCATTACGTTTTTGTAAATAAACATGAAGTATTTGGTGATTGTTGATTCAATAAATTTTCTCGTAAGAATAGATACTTTGTTTTTATAATAATCAAAATAATTAGACAATTAGTTGAAAATAATGGTTTTGTTAATTGCTCACCCTAACCAACTTAAAGGATATTAATTGTAATTTGTACACTATTAATAATTGTTGCATGTGCGCTATTGTACGCTATTATTTTATTACTTATATTTAAAATGTCAGTTATATTTAAATAATTATATTTAAAAGTTTAGTTATATATCTTAAGGCAACAGAATATATATATATATTTTTATTTTAAATTACTTATTTTTTTTGCTTGTATTATAATAACTTGTAATTCTTTCTTTTTAAATTATATAAATAAAAGATATATTTAATTATTCTAAATTGAACTTTTCCACCATTGCTCAATAATATATTCTAAATTATTCTAAATCAAAATTATTCTAAATTGAACTTTTCTCCCAGTTCAATATGGTGGAGGATAGGAATGATGTAAAGATCACGAGTATTTTGGAGTTGTTCAATACAAAACCGGACAAACTTGAGTCTTCCAGAGAGTATTTCGATAGACTGAAAGGGTATGGTTCGGGGCTCAATCCAGAATTTTTGTCGGTGCATTTTATGTTGAATTGTCGTAATGAAAAGTTAAAAACAAGGTTGATTGAAGAAAATACTACAGAGATTAATATTATAGAGGACATTGTTGTCAAATTTGAATCGTTGGATATCAATAATAATAAAACAGATGTAGAGAAAGATTCTTGGAGAAGAGAGGATAGAACCGATTGGCAAGACTTTTCGTCTTGGAAAGAGAACAAGCAGACTTTTAAGGCCAACAACAACAATTACAACGGCAGCAACAACAACAACAACGGCAGCAACAACAACAACAACAGCAATTACAACAATTTCAAAAAGACGGTGATGATACACCCCTTATAATTTAAGGCCAAGAAATAAAATTAATTTTATTAATGATATTATGATTGACCTTCAAGTTAATAATTATGATTTTTCTTTTATGATAGATACTGGTTCTCCGGTGTCATCCTTGCTCATGAAAGAGTTTGAAAAGCTTACGAAGGATGAATTTGTTAATACTAAAGAAATATGAGATAGGGTTAATTTTTAACTTTTTATAATCCGTTATCGCTTCGAATAGGAATCGGTTGATTGTTCAATGACAATGACTTGATTATAACCTTAAATTTAAAAGAAATGACAATGACTTTGAATTACTACCTTAATTTTAAAAGAATTAAATTTTGAGAATTAACTTTACGCAACTCCGTTTTTTTTGTCCTAAGTGAGCATCAATCAATTATGGCGTGGGGGTATTGTCACTGAGAGGATCAGTAATGTCATTTTAAATTCAAATTTTCTAAGGTCAAAATTATTCATTTAGATCATAATGGTTCTTTAATTATAATTGTTTTCTATGATAATACGCTTTTCTTATATTTTTTTTTATCACCATCTCCAAATTATTTTTTTTTTATATATTAATTTTATTCCAAATATATTTATTGTTTACTGGCCACCTGTAGTGTTAATTGTACCTATCGATAGTGTAATTTATACCTTTTGTAAGGGTAATTACATAAAAAACTATCATGTACAACTATGGTGCCAATTCCCCTTGATATATACATTTTCATTCTTAAAAATAAATTAACTCTCGCATGCCAAACGAGTTCTTTCTTTCCCCATTTTGTTGTACCATGTTGTGTTTTCAAGACTTTAATTTATATATATATATATTTTTTTGGAGGGAGTGCATGTTGCATGTGCACTATTATAATAAATTTTTTTTTCATATATTTTAATGATTGTTTTTTTTGATTAAATAATTTTCTTCATTATATCAATTTTATTCCAAATATATTTATTGTTTGTTGGCCACCTATAGTGTGAATTGTACCTATTGATAGTGTAATTTATACCTTTTGTAAGGGTAATTACATAAAAAACTATCACGTACAACTATGGTGTCAATTCCCCTTTATACATATATTTTCATTCTTAAAAATAAATATAAATTACCTTCCGCATGCTAAGCGAGCGGTTATTCCCTATAAATTGTAGTTTCTTTCAGTTTTCATTTTTTTATATTTTTTTTTTGGAGGGAGTGCATGTTGCATTGTGCGCTATTATTTTATTACTTATATTTAAAATGTCAGTTATATTTAAATAATTATATTTAAAAGTTTAGTTATATATCTTAAGGCAACAGAATATATATATATATATTTTTATTTTAAATTACTTATTTTTTTTCCTTGTATTATAATAACTTGTAATTCTTTCTTTTTAAATTATATAAATAAAAGATATATTTAATTATTCTAAATTGAACTTTTCCACCATTGCTCAATAATATCAAAATTATTCTAAATCAAAATTATTCTAAATTGAACTTTTCTTCCAGTTCAATAATAATCATATAAAAATTTATTAACTAGCCTTATTTCTAACATTATAATATGGGGTAGGATATTTGAGGAGAGTGGTTGAGAAGAGTTTATTTCCAGGCACCAATTTTCGGATTCCCTGAAAAATATATATCAGGAATCTGTGGAGGTTCAATATTTGAATACGGCGTAGATATTCTTAAAATAATACATAAACATACTTATTGTCATGGTTCATTTCCTAGTTTTCAGTACACTATTACTTTTTTATACAATGTTAAAATAAGTATTATTGATTTTATATGTTGTATCCAGTTAAATAAATATTTTAAAAAATTAATTTATTTTAGAATTATTATATTACAAATTATCTAATCAGATCTAGGGTTAATAAAAAAAATTAGGGGTAATCAGATGATTCGTTGAAACCGTTGTAACATAATTTTTTACTTTGACAATTGGTTCTCATTCATAAACTTACTCGTTATATTATTGCAAAAGGTGATAAAATATGTATCAACGTTAGGGTAAATAGCCTCTTTTGCCAACAGATCAACAATTTAAAAAATGAGAATAGGAAGTTTTGTTGAAAAAAAACGGTGATCATTGGAGTCGATTTATATGTTATCAAATGGTTTTCCGTTGATCTAATGGGCTTTATGGGCCCACCCAATACCTAACATGAAACGTTTCGAAACAAAGGAAAGCATCGTGAAATGTCCAGCCATTGTTAAAAATTACAAATAAAACATGGGCCGAGTTGATCCTATAAATTCCTTACTAGCCTCTTCTTCTTGCCTTTTTTCATGTTTTAAACTCTTCCCTTAATATCTTTATTATTTCAATGCTTGTTAATGGGTGATTATCAGAGGGATTGCAACTGTTAAAAATTCCCGAGCAGGAATCGCTCCTATCTCTTAAAATATTAGTCGAATATGTATAGTGTAAAGGAAATAAAATTACTAATTCAACTTCGAGAGTTTATCAAATCCAAAAAATACTGAAAGTCTAATTTACACATTGGCCGAAGTAGAATGAAAAAAATGTCGGATGCAAATTACCAGGATTTAAGGGCATTACGAAAATAGCGTAAGACATGCGGGGTATCATTATGTTCAACCCCAGAAAACAATTGTTTTATTATATATCATAAAAACTGATTTCCTTTGTCTATCATTTTTATACAATTTGTAATATAAGTTAACATACTACAAAATACTTAGAAATATTCAACGAGGAAAAAATTGTTGCCTTCTTTAGATATACATAGAAAGTAAAAATGAGTATTATAAAATTATAAAATTTTTAATTGGTATAGAAATAGAGGATTAAATTTAAAGAGAAATAAACAACATAGTGTTCCCCCTCCCCCAACCCTTACAGAAAACCTCTGGTTATGTCTATGAATTTGATGAAGTATTGGAAGTTTACTGAACAAACTCATACAGCACTTTAAAGGCATAATGATATATAAAGGTTAGCGCAGTATATATTATTAATTATTTTTTAAAATGCGTAATTTTTTTTAAAATATCAGTTTATTTTGACACTTTTGGAAAATTTTCTAATTTATTAAAAGTAGTAAGATTATTAAACTTTACCATATTTTCTGAAAAAATTTACATGAGTTCCCTATTACATATATAGTATATAGATAATTGATCAAAAATTTTTTTAAAATTTTTTTACTTGACCAAAATGAGGTATGTCGTTTTTAAGTTACAACATGTGAATATTGATACAATTTTTTATACATTATACACTGGTATAGAAAATAATTAAGCAGTTTTTATTAATGTTAATACATATTGCATAATAATCTATCATTAGAATAATTTTCTTCTCAGAATATAGTTTGAAATTAGAGACAACGCCCAAAAAATCCCCAAAACCTCGAAAGAATGCTCTATCTGAGTTTCCGGTTATGAGGTTCCATATCCATAAACATATATTGTTTCAAAGTGAATATGCTATTTAGTTGATCAGATTGGTCTATAGATTGATAAGAATTTCTCTCCAGAGCCTTTACTCTGGTCGTCAAAGTGGACTTTCCATTAAATTTTATATAATTTGGAGGTATATGTAAAAAAAATTTCTTTTTTATTTTCCTCATTTATTAAAAGTATATTTGTTTCATAAACTTGATACTCACTATCAAAGTCTTTTTCCTTCTAAATATTACAGATGTAAAATTATGAGGAGAGGAAATCATATTGTAACTAATAGTTATTACATACGAATAAATTCGAATAAAAAAAAATGAGATAATATTTTTCTTAGAATAGAAAAATGAAAATGAATATAAAGATTTCTTGTTTATCTTTATTATATTTTTCTTAACTACTAATATTATTTCTTGGTATAAAAAAAAATGTAATTAAAAATTACGAAAAATGTCAATTTTGAAATGTATGGAATATCTGACATTAAATAATCGCACTTAAGATAAATAAGAGAATTTTTATTTATTAAATAAAGGATTTTTATAAAAAACGGATTGTTAAAAATTTCTGCGCCATGGCAGTAGTTTTAGATGCTTTTCTTAATATAGAATTGGTTACAAAATATTAGGTAAAATGGCACTTTTACAAACATATTTGACAGTTATATAATATATTACATATTACAATATTTTAATAAATTTTACTAATAAATGCTTTTGATAATAAATATAAGTAACAATTTGCATTCAATTCTTTAAAGCTATCTATTTATTTAAAAATATTATTACAAATTAAACATCTGGATGTACCTTATTAGATATTAACGCTACTGAAATATAGAATTATTTTTTCATGTACATTCTTTAAAAGATATTTTCTGATGTCCTTATTAATATTATACAGTCTTCTGTAAAATATATAATTCCCTATTGGTAAAGATTATTTAATTGTCATACGATATTAGATAAAATTAGATATACTATAAATCTTAGACACAAAATATTCCACTGTTTGTATTGTGCGTTAACTTTTACTTAATTTATAATTTAATTTTATCAATAATTTTATAATTATATTTTCTTTAATTAAGAAAAATAAGTTAAAGTTACTCACTTTATAAAAAAATTATATTTAAGAAAAGATATTATATTATTTAGTAATTTTATGGATCTTTTAATAGTAATTATAACACATTTCACTTTTGTCTTAAGACTTATCTTTAGATTATATTTTATTTCCTAAAAAATATTTTTGGTTTCACTTTTTTTTAATATATAATTTGCTTTTTTCCCAAAAAGTATGAATTATAATCAATAGTTTAAGGTATATGCATACATATTTGGGGAAGAGGTGGGGAGAGGACTAAGGAGGATATTTGTATTAGCTTAAAATGATATAAACAAAAAGTGATAAATTTCTGAATGGGGGAGAGAGAAATTTTCCCTTGCCCCCCCCCCCGGTTCGCCTATTCTCCAGATGTTAAATTAGGCTTTTAACAAACTCAAGAATTATTATCACATACGATCTTTGGAAGTAAACTATATTTGCACAAAATTATCTTTTTTCCGTAAAAACATTCTTAAAGAGT